CTCACTGGCCTTGAACTCATTATGCAGCCCAGGCTAAAGATATTTTTTTCTTAGGTGCAGTCTTTGAAAATTTTGGGAATTACCTGGAGAAAGGTACTTTAAAAAATTTCCTGTCCTCCCACCCCAACCCACCTTATAAGGTCTATGGCATTAGAATATGGTGGGAGAAGATCTCTTTCTACTTTAAATTAATTTTTTTTCTTTTTGTAGTAATGAGAATTTAACCCAGGGCCTTCATACTGAGCTATATCCCCAGCTCTTTTTAAAATTTTCTATTTTGAGACAGAGTTAAATTTGCTAAATTGTTACGTTTCCCAGGCTGGACTCAAATTTAGGGTCCTCTTGCCTTAGCTTTTCAGAGTGCTGGATGCCAGCTCAAACTTTTCTCCTCTCCTCTCCTCTCCTTTCCTCTCCTCTCTCTCTCTCCACACTAAAATTTGTGAACCATTGCTCTGAAGAAAAGATAATTTAGTGTACATGGCTAGCCTTCCACAGCCTTATTTGGCACAGTTTGCAATAGTAAGCAGCTCCACTGCTCTCTAAGAGTAGTTTTCTAGGTTTTAGGAGACCTTAAGGGTCATTATCATCTCTTAGCAAAGGAGCTCTGGTTTGCAGTAAACGACCTGGTCTCATCAATATCTGTTTCATAAGCAAACAATACCAGCACAAACATTTATATATACTTGTTCATTTACTTTCCTAGCAAGCCCTTAAGGGTGGGAGCCCCATTGTACAGTTAATAAAACTGAGGCACATGGAAGCTAAGTACATACCCAAGGTTAACCAGCAAAAAAGCCCAAAAGTTCATTTTTTATTGAAATTGTATATTTAAAAAATTTCTACATTCAAACTAGCAAAAAGCACACGCATAGGTGAGTCAGAGACCTGGGTGTGATCTGACCCACAATTAGTAGGTATGTGATTGTGAGTGTTCATGTGACTCCTTGGTTCTCATTTCTTCTCCCTCTGTGAAATGACATTCCAGAACATTCTAGGGCTCTTTCTAGCTCATAAAATATCCTTGTGCGTTCCTTACTAATCTTCTTTAATGTATTTTATACATTTATCGAGTCTTTTTAAAAAATGCTTAGTACACATCAAAGAATGATTATCATTAAAGATTTGCTTCAAAATTAAAGTACTTTAAATTCCTACTTAACACACATCCATATAAATTAGTTTCTGGGAGGCAGAGGGGCAAATATTTTAAAGATAGGCATCATGCTTCCAAGGGTTTAATTATTTTTTCTTTTTGCACCTAGTGCTAAAGGAGGGGTGCCCTTCCTCGGACACCTCATATCCCTAGAAGACACTGCCAGAAATGTTGAACAGCTTAGCTAACTCAGCCGAAGCATTAAAATGAGCTGAAAGCTTATGCAACCCTTCTTCTCGCTGTGCAAATTTCCTCTGTTTCTGTAGATGAGTTTTCCCAGTGGATGATACAGACTCCTAGAAGCAAGCACACCCCAAATGTTTCCTTTTTATAATGATCTGAAGCACAGAGGAGTCCTGAAAAGACGATTGTCCGGCTTCTTGTGTTGCTTCATGGGCTTTAAGTGTTCACAAAGAGGATTCCTTATGCTTTAATTTCTCTTTATTTTTCTGACTGTAAAGACCCTTGGGGTAAATGCCAGCCCCACAATCCCGCCGTTATATGGTTACTGTCAGCCTGCTCATATGATGCTTCCTGTTCATTAGGCTTCTTTTCATCTGACTACAATGTCCTGGTTTTGCTGCAATTCTTCGTCAACGCCCATCCCTTCAATAGGCTGTGAATAGTATTAAATGGTGTTTATGCTAGCTATTGTTGCCTTTTGTGTGGTTTGTCTAATTCACAGAGAAAAGTCTGCCTTTGTGGTGGAAGACCAGCTACGTCATGGCACACCATGTGCCTTCTGATGGGACCTAGGCCTGCTGAGTGATAACATTACAGGCCTGAGCTTCTTTGCAACACAATCCTGCATTCTTGCCGCTGTCAATACTCTCACAGGCAGACTGGTTTACTCTTTTTATTAAGAGGTAGGGGGAGATAAAGCACAAACAAATACCAGGCCCTGAAACAAAGCTGAAAAGAAGGGTAAGTTCAACTGATTTGCAACTTACTCAGCCAGGCAAGAAGCGAGAGAGCAAGTGAAAAGAAAAAGAAAAAAAGAAAAAGAAAAAAAAAAAACCCACAGATTTATTCTGTTAGCAGCCAGACATGCCAGGTGTAACCACCACGGCAACAAATGCTTTGCATTTCAGAACTAAGACTGCAGTATGGTTTCCAGGCATTGTTTAAAATGACACCTAATACCGGAGTCATTACTAGGCCGGGCTTTCTGGAAAGTGCTCACAAAAGAGAAAGGTTATTGTATTGATGATTACATTATCCTCTGGTTTGTGAGTCTTTGCAGGGCAGGTACATTGCTATGTCTTGAAAGGGCTTTTGATCTAAGAAGATCATTACAGCCTCAGTGGTAACTGATCCCAGGCAGCTCTGGCTTTTGGTGCTGGGGGTTATTCCATCCTATTGCATTGCATAATCCCTTTGCCAGCTACCTACAATCTTCTTTATTCCTCTAATGTTAGCTTATGTTTGAGCTGATTTTTTTCTCCTTTGAGAAGAGCAGTGTTTCCAAGACTGAGAAAGGTGCATGGAAAGGGAAAGGGTTTCCTGTTAGCTGATGGCACATGTCCTTCAGTACTGAAAACACATTTCTGAGTGGTGAGTCCAGCTAGATTTCCTCATAGCTGTCTGCTTTCTAACACAAAAACCAATCTGAGGATAAGACTGACCCCAAGCATAGGCAAGAAAAAAAGAAACCAGGAGCCATGGCTAAATAATGTTATTGAGTTCATATTCCTGGGTAAGAAAACGTGAAAACAATGTGATGGCATTGGAAAATACAGACAAAGTGAGATGATTTTTAATTTCTATTTTAAACCCTGAAAATTTGCTTCTTTAATTAGGAAGTTAAAGTAGAAAGCATCAGATCCGTCATCTACCTTCAATCTGAGAAAAGCACAAGAGCTGCCTTTTAAGGGATCTGGAAGTTATTTTTCTAAAATGATATTAACCCATGAATAGCAACCCTTTCCAACTCGAGTGACAAGTATTTCTTGTGCCTTGAATAACTCTAGCACTGAGCAGGTATTTTGGTAGGATTCAGAGAAGCAGAGTCTAGCATCTCTTGGCTGGGGGTTTGGGGGCAACCTAGAGAGAAAGCAGGATAATGATGTAACACTGGGGCAGCAGGCTGACAAGCCCTGATCTGGGCAATCAGCACAAGCTGGGATAACAATAGAGCAGCCTTGTGCAAAATGTGCCCTGGTGACCTTAGACCTGAACACTGGATATAAGAAGTGCTAGGTAAGTGTTCAGTGCATTTAGATGGGTCACTTGCTGGAAGGACCAAACACTGTTTATGTAGGTGTTATGGTACGCATCTGAATGTCCCCCAAAGCCTCATGCAATCATGTGTGTGGGTTGCAGAATTTGTGATTAACTCATGTTCCATTGCTGGGATTATGGATGTGAGTGCTACATCTACCCTAGAGGATGGGCTACATACAATATAAGGGACAGAAACAGTCTTCTCTATATGCTCCTGCCCTTTTGCTATTGTTGAGTTTGCTGTCTTCTGGCTGCCATAAACTGTTGCCCTCTGCCACATTCCACTCTGCCTTGGTTCCAGTCTAGTATGGACTGAAAGCCTCCACAAACTGTGAGCTAAATAAATCCATTCTTCCTTCATTTTGGGCATTATATATTTTGTCCCAGCAATGAGACAAAGGTAACCAAGACAGTAGGGTAAGGCAAAGGGTCATTACCAGCAAGTAAGTAGCAAAGGCTATTGCTTGGAGACAAGAATGAATTTTGGGGGACGAGATCTGAGCCTAAAGCATGTGAATCCTGAAAAACTTATCCTTTCTTGAAGAATAGTTTTCTCCTGGCTGAGAATATCAAGACCACTATGGGTAGTAGAAAAGCAATCCAGAAAGAAGAGTCTTGGCAACACCTGGATGAGTGGTCACACTTGGGGATTAGTGGGGTAGAGAAGACAAAGAGAGGTGGTCCTTCCATCCAAATCACCCACTTGTTTGGCTAGACTGGCCAAAGGAGGTAGAGTGTTCTAGGAAGTAGGCAAAGAAGTCAAACTCTTTGTAGAAGAGGGGCTAGCTAACAGTAGGCACCTGAACTCAGTACAAACGATCTATTGATCTTATTGAGATGGGCATTCCTTCCTCCTTCCATCCCTTTTATCCTCCCTTTCTTTCTTTCTTCCTTCCTTCCTTCTTTATCTTCCTTCCTTCTTTCAATACTCATTCATTCATGTGATGTGTATTTAATGCAAACCATCATATTTATTTGGAAGAGCATGGTGTTAGGGACTCTTGTAAGAATTTGAGAAACCTTACAATAGAATGCCAGGTTCTTTAGAAATATTTCAATATGCATAGTTGGAGTCACTAAATCCACATAAGGACTTTCTCCTCATTGTGGTTAACTAAAGCAGAAGGATGTCTACATCTATAGCACAAGTGTTACTCTACTGATACTCTTTGATTCATTCATTCATTCATTCATTAATTCATTGGCCAAGTAACTATCAAGCCACAAATACATACTTGGACCAATTTAAACTCTGGTGACAGAAAGAAATCAGTAGAACACAGTTGCTAGCTTTGAGAGGTTCATGGTCTACTGGTAGACTCAGACATGTGGAGAGTAATTCTATGAGTAAGGTCATTACATAGAATGTACTGCTGGAACAGAGGATACAGAATCTACTTTCTCCTGGAGAGGCCTGGGAAGGTGTTGCACAGGGAGGCTGATGTGTGAGCTATGTCATGAGGGGAGACTGGTTGGCCTGACTTATAGGGGAGGCAGTGGTGTTCAGGTAGGAGGAGCAGCATCTGCAAAGTGGGCTTTCCATGTGTTCAGGGACCTGCAAGCAAGTGTTCAGGGACCTGATGGGGGGAGAGGGAGAGGATGACAGTAGGAAAGATAGACAGGCTCAGGAGCAGGAGGGTCTTGATTTTATTAACAAAAGTCAGTCTCTTGTTTGCTTCCATGTAGTCAGGCTTTACTTTTACTCTACCTTGGCTTGCTTATTTACTAACCAACCCCCACTTTCCCTTTTTGAGAACTTGTGGCCAAGCCATTCCTCATCAGCTACACTTTTCCTAACCCTCTGGCAGCTGTGTACAGCCATCTCCCAGCTGAAGCTCTGCAGCTTTTCCAGACACAGAGTCTTGAAGCCTCAGGAACCGAAGGAAATTTTAAGATCATCACACTGGTGAATTTTCAGCTTTCCTTTCTTTGTCGCACACAATAGATGATCTTTTCCTACAAGACAAAAGTGTGCACTCATGTCATTGCTGTAGCAAATCAGGTAGGCTGAAGTCTTGTTCCACTCTTTCCAACTCCACTGATGCCTAAAGAAATACCAGTAAAAACAAGTGGCATCATCACAGGACTAACAGCAGAACTGCAGACATTGACCCCACTTAAATCAGATGTGACAGATTTCTGCGCCTGAGCTTCCATCTGAGCTTGACCAATGCTCGCTCTACCTACAACACCTTGGGACATCTGCTTGAATATTCCTGATGATGCAAATCTCACCTCATAAAGCAATCATTCATTTCTTGGACAGTTTCAAAGTTAGATGACTCTTCTTAAATGGAATTAAAAACTCCTTTTCTGTGACTTTAGTTCATTCATCTTATTCTTCTCTTTGAAGCTACATAGAATAATAGCATGCCTGTTACCTACGGTCATTTAAATACCTAAAGATTAGTTCCAAAATAATTTTCTTTTTTCAGTTTAAATATCACAATGATGTGGTTTCCATTCTTGGAAGGGACTCCATTTAGCCAGTTTAGCTTTTAAAATATTACACTGAGTTCTGAAACAGTACTGTCACTGTGGGCATGCCAGCAAACCATACATCTGGGACTATCACTGTTCTTACTCTGGGTGAAATATTTCTATTAATGTAATTCAAGGTCTCATTAGCACTGCTGGTAATTTTGCCTATTGGCCATAATTGCAATTTTCATTAAATTCCTAAAACAATTTGATTTGAATTGCCACTGGCTCAGGTGTCTCTCGTCTTCTACTTACTAGGCATTTTCAGCCTATTGCAGAGGTTTCCATTCACCCCTATTAAATTCCACCTTCTCCGTTTTGCTGATTGTTTCAAATAGTCAAAATCAATTTAAATATGTATGTTACATTTGGTCTATTAACTATCCTTCCAAGTTGGTGCCATTACTAAATCTAGTAAGCACACCTCTTTTACTCTAATCCAAATATTTAACCAAAATATTGACTAGATGAAACTAAATAAAGAGGCTAATGTAGTCCATTAGAGACTATCTTCTTTCTGGTTGCATTACTCTTAATTAGCATTAGAAAGACCAAATATTTTAACCAATTTTGAACCTACCAAACTTGGCCATTGATACCCAAAATGATATGAGACTTATTTGAAATAAGTATGCAACTAATTAGTGATAAAGTTCTTTCAGAAATACAGATTAAGGTTATCATTTTAGTTTCATGCACCCTCATTCAGAGGAAAGGATGTCTTTTAAATTCTTAATAAGAGAAGCAGGAAGAACAGAAGCTATAAAATGAAAACATGATTAATTTATTAAATGTTTACATAGGAAAAATATCAAGTTAAGATACAAATGAAAAACTGGGGGAAAACAGATGAAATAAATATAATAAAGGGATAATTTGTGATTAATTAATATAGAAATATAGAAAAAGGAAATATGAGTCAGTTTCAAAAAAAGAATGAACAACCAAAAAGAAAATGGGCAAGGGACATAAATAGGTAGGGGGTTCATTAACACAAACAAGGCAAAAACGATGTTCAGCATCAATCACACTTAAAGTCAGGGAGATCAGAACACGGATGAATCCCTCTTCTGCATCTGTAAACCTAACAAATGTGAAAACATACTATTAAGGGCAAGTACAAAGGAACCTTCTAAAATGATTCCTTGAAAATTGGCACCACCACTCTGGAGGGCAACTTGAAATTATTAAGTGTTAATATACATATACTCTCTGATGCAACAATTTTGCATTAGGGTTTTATCCCCAAAACTACAAAGGAACAGACAAGCTGCAGAACTGTAATAGTCAATTTTGTCAAGTTGAATAGTCAGCTTGAATAACAAGTGCCCAACAGGTTGGTTTAGCACAGTTCTGGGTATATTTCAACGATGAACTTACTGAAGATCTGGTGCAGGTGGCATCAACATATAGACTTGTTGCCTGGATGGACTACAAAGGTCAGAAGGAAGTCCCACTTCTGCTTCTTTGAAGGTGCTCTGATCTTCACTATCACATTTGGATGGCTATCTCCAGGCTTTCGTAGATTCTCTGGCTTCCTCATAGGGACTTGTAGTGAGTTCAAGGCTTTCAACTTTTGACTGGGTCTTCTGGGTCCCTCGTGCACATAATCCTTCCCCTCAGTTTCTCCCTCCCCACCCAACCCCAACACATAGCGCCTTCCACAAACTTAGTTGTTTTCTGGCAGGCACTGGCAGGTCTGTAATACCACATGTTGGGCAGCTTAAAACAACAGAAATGTACTCTCTTGCTCTTTCTTGCCTCTTCTTAGCTTCTGGTGGTGGCTGTCCAACCTTGTCATCTTTTGGCTTGAGCTGTGTCACTCTGATCTCTGTCTTCAAGTGGCCTTCTCCTATTGCTAAGGAGCTCAAGTTGGTCACACTCCAGTATTACCTCATCCTTACTTAACTAATGACACCTGCAAAGACCCTGTTTCCAAACAAACTCATATTCCAAAGTACTTGGTGCTGGGACTTCAACTCACCTTTTTGGGGGATATAATTGAATTGGTAACACAAACTGATTTATATATTTCCTTAGAATTGCTGTTTCTATTGTTAATTGCTGCTCCCCATGGACTATAAATTCCACAAGAAGCTTCCTTTTTGTTGCTGATGAAAGCAAAGGGCCTGGAGCAGTACTTGGCAAGTGGTAGACATGCAATAAGCATCTTTTGAGTGATGCTGGCTATCATCACATGACTGTACTGTTTAGTCCGATCAGTCAGCTCTCTGAGTTCTCACTGTCCAACTATTAAGCCTTCTTCGGGTCTCTGCTAAAGAAAACACAGAGCACCTGTTGAAATATTCTAGTTTCCTAGTTACGTTTCTCATTGAAAACGTACTCTGCACGCTCAGCCTTCAGCAATTCTTCAAAATTACCATTTGCAGGTGCCTACTGGTTACAGCTGTTGCAGCTTCTCTTCAGCAAAACAAAGAGAAAACCTGTTCTGTCGAATTGACAGGATTGCTGCAAAAGCTCCACCACTTTCTGTAATGCCAGGGCTGCATCCTGTGATCCTCAACGGCTTTATTCAGCCTCCATTTATCGGGGGGCGGGAAAGCCTGACCCCTCGTTGGACCCAAGCAAGGAGGCTGGTGGTGATCCCCTTGCCCAGACAGCAATAGCAAGTCCCTCTCCTCCCCAGGGGCCAGACCTCTGTTCTCTACCCCTATTCTGGACTTGGAGCTTGGTAGATTTGTACTCCCAGCCCTACTCAGTTTTATTTTCTGTCCTGTTTGTATTTAGAGCCATGCAATTTTGGGGTTTCTTTTATATTTTATTTTTTAAAAACCAAATAAGATTTTAATATTATATTATCTGATAAAAACAATTAGATATTTTAATATTTTATTTGTTATTAAAAATTGAGAATCCCTATTCTGAAAAATATAAAATATTCCTAAGGCCTAAACTTGTTGGGTGTCAATGTGGTGCCACAAGTGACAATTTCTGATGATCCATTGTATACAGACTTTGTTTCATGCATAAAGCTATTAAAAATCTTGCATAAAATTACCTTCAGGCTATGTGGATAGGATACCTATGAGGCAGTAAATGATTTTCATGTTGCCAGTTGATCTTAGCCAAAATGCCAAAAAGCAGTGAATTTCCATTTAAACTTGGGTTCCATCCCCAAGGTATCTCATACATACAATATAATATATACAAATATTCCCAAGTTAAAAAAAATCAACAGCTGAAACATTTCTGGTCCTAAGCACAAGTGTTGGATAATGGCCATTTAATCTGCAAATGTTTAGAGCAGAAAACAAAAAAATCATGATCTCCTTGGGCCATGTTCAAGAGTTCTCAATTGCCTGATGAACTTTGCACAACATAATAAAATATAGTAAGCTAGGAAATATAAAATAAGTACATAAATTTTCAAGAGGGTGTTTTAAATATATCTCTGATAATAGAAAAAATGAGATTTGCACTAAATGTGAGGCCTATTTAATAATGAAATTCAGAGGGGAGAATTGTCCTAAAATATTAAAATTGATCTGTATGATACTTTCAAAGATCTTCTAATTAAAATTTCATAAAACGATAAGAGAAGAGAAAATGTATTTTGGTTATTTTTAGCTTATGTTCAGCCTCTCACGACTTTGGTTTCTGTGAATAAAGCCTGGATGAGGGAAAAACGCAAAGCTGAGATCTTGACCTTGGACTCGTGCTGCCCCAGAGACCTAAAAAGGGAGGGGAAGATAGTGGACATGCAGAGCAATAGACAGCTGACCGTGGACTTTCTTGGAAGGTATGTGGGAGGAAAGGACAGGCTGGTGGCCATGTTTCAGGATGAGTAACCTGGCTGTGGTACAGGGAAGCTGAGGACAAGTGTGGAGATAAAGATACGCTTACCTCAGAACAATAGAGGTACTGAGGGAATGGTAAGATCAAGTAACATTGCAAATAGATGGGCATCAGTAGTGATGCCAATACCAAAATTTGCAATAAAGGTATCTTGTAGATGGAATTGGGCTTAAAGATAAGATGAGTCTAAAAAAGGAAGCCTTTGCTTGAATGTGTTAGTACAAGGTATGTATGTCTCATTTTCAAGCTGCTGCTGCTGTTTTCTCCTACAATGCTCTTTGACTCTCCTTAAACTTGTGGCAAGTTACAAACACTACATAGGCATTTACACCCAGGCTTTGTCTGAAAGGAGCAATTGGTATTAACAAATTGTTTCCTATCATGTTCTTCAGGGGCTCCATGTTTACAGAATCCTCTGTAACTGCAAGCAGACTAATTTTTTTTTTTTTTTTTTTTTTGGCTTTTTTCGTTTTTATCGGTAGCAGGGATCGAACTCACGACTGCCTGCTTGCAAGGCAGGTGCTTATGCTGCTGAGCTAAATCCCCAACCCCTCAGCAGACTAATTTAAATCAGAGACAAGGCTCTAAATCTATGCAGTAGCTCTGGGCCTGCAAATTCCACATTTTCTTCTCCTGCATCACCAGCTGATTTCTCATCTCTCAGGCCATTTCCAGTCATTCCAAGGACTCAACTGACAGAGAAGAGAGTTGGGAAGAGATTGCTATGGGTTGCTAAATTCTTTAGAGTCCCTATTGTAGATGACTTGATTTAAAAACTAGATTTTGCTTGAAAAAAGTAAGTTAATCTTGGTTTTCAGAGCACTTGAACACCCACTGAAAGTCTCAGTAGGCAATAATTTTAGGTTCTGCTGAGATTTTATGACATAAACATTAGAGTCCTCCAACACATTGTGCACAAAACATTAGAGTCCTCATTGTGCACAAAAATTGATTTCCAATGGTTGCAATTTGCACGAGAAAGAAAACCTTTGTTTTCAATGTACTGATAAGAGACCATATATGTGGCCTCCTCATTGATTAACTCTTCTGTTTTTTTTAGATTCACTTCTTGAGAGAATCATTAAACATTAAGAGAAAATGATTTGTTTCCATTGATTACATGTTGTACCCATTTGACTGCCATAGTTTTTATATTGAAGTTATTAATTATGCTATTAATGTAATTTTCAGAATCAATGAATCACCTAGGATCTGACTGTGTAGCTGTTTTTTTTTTAACAAATAAAAGCAATTTTAGAAGAAATAAATCTGTGACAGCAGTAATAAAGGAAAAGTCCAGTGATTCAGTTTATGTATCACCACAAGGAAAAGGGAGTTCTGCTGGTTACTTAAATGGTGAGCACTGGAAAGCAGGTTTTCTCAAAATGTCCATTTTCATAATGTGAAATTCTTAGAGTCATTGCTGATTAGAAAAGATGACTTCCTACTCTTCACTGAAATTCCTTTCTTGCTCTCATTCATTGCTTAAAGTTATTAAGTTATATGGAGCGTGGTGAAGCCAGCCTTGACTTGGTCTTCCCCAAGTCTCCCTGAACAGTCTATTCATATTGACTGGGGATTCTGTTGCTTATCCAGTTCCAGTAATGCTTCTCTCCCTGTGATGATTGTCAAAAAATTAATTACAATAAGCATGGAAGTAAATCTGCTCTGCAGTCTGCTTCTGGCTGGCTGTAAAACCTGAGCCTTGAAGGGATCCTCTGGATACTGGAAAAAAGTAATTTCTTAGAATTTTCTAGAAAATGCATGATTTCAATAAATGGTTCCTCTTCTCCTATTAAATTCTAAGGGACTTGCCTACCACTCCTGCTGGTTCTTTGGGAGCACAGGACTGATTATAGTATTTTTCTGATGTTTCACAGGTGCCTAAAATAGAAATTTGCTTTTACCAGGGAGGAGGTACCAAGTTAGCTTCATAGCCACCCAACCTGTGCATTCACACTGTGTCCTCTATTTAGAAAGCCCAGTGCTTGGTTGTTGCTCTGCATTGCTGTCTTAAAATTCTTAGCAACTTTTGAATCAAAGGCTCAGCATTTTTCAGGTTCTGGGTTCCATGGTGTATGCAGACTGTTCTACTGTGTAACACATGTCCGCATATCAAAATCACACATGAAGCATAATCTATATGCACAAGCCAGAGTTTAAGTGTGGAATGACTGCTTTCCTGTAGTGTGGATTTCTTTTATCATTTTTCCTTTTCTTTTGCAATGATGGAGAAATGCTCAAGACAACACTTTTTTGTGACTGCAGAATGAGGAGAGGCTACATCTTGATTAACTTTGCTGGTCATGGATAGAAAATTCCTGATATAAAAGCAGACCCTCTATCCTAGGAGGATGGATATGAATTTTAAGCAGTGTATTTAGTTTTGTTGTGTTGTATGAAGTATTTAATCAGCACTAAATGGTCAAATTGCTTTTGTATTTAGGTCTCCTGAGAACACATGCTCAGAGAACCTGTCCTCTTTTTCAATAATGTAAAATCAACGTAGTACCTAGCCATTACATGGGTAAGGAAATATAGTCTATGAAAAGATGTTCAATGTCACAATCATCAGAAAATTATAAATCAAAATCACAATAGAGTATTACCTACCACCTGTTAGGATTGTCATAAAAAACAGAAAACAACAAGTGTAGGCAAAGACATAGAAAAATCAGAACACTTGCACACCATTAGTAGAAACACAGATTGATGCAGCCTTCACAGAACACAATGGGGTTTCCTTTAGAAATTAAAAATGGAGATGCTCTGTGAATC